CCCCCAAAACCCCAAAACCCCAAAACCCCATTAAAATTCAGCTCTATTGAAGATAAACCAACTAAAAGTTGTTTAGGAATCAAATCTGTAAAGAAATGCTTGAGATACAATTAGATCTTATTACCTATGGAATTATTCAGCATTACAAAGCAGACTCAAGGCTAAAGAGCTGTAAACTGCAGAGCTCCAATCACCAAAGCATAAACCTAAAGGAATAGTCTTCTGAGGCTGTATTCTAACGAAGAGCTCGAAGTACTTCAGTAGAATATATAAGCCAGCATTCAACGATCTAGTCAATGGATTCAAGTTTACATCTTCAGAGATAATTATAGTTTCTGAAAGAATTTCAGAGCCAGCAAGTTTTTAAGAATTTAAAACTTCTATCTAATTGTTAAAAGCCAAATAATTACCGATCAGTAGAAGCCCTACCCAAATGATCTTTCTCTCTATTGATACTATCTCTGGATTGGCAGTCAATACTAGGGCCTCCAGCTTCTTATATTTTGAAATGGCATGTAAATGAAGACAGAATAGGTTGCCATTGAGCCACTTTAGTAAGCTTAGAAATGACTAGTCAGTCCTCATTGCCTGCAGATTCAAAAATAGCATGTATTTTAACATTGAGTATTAGCATAAATTTTGCTCTTTGATGTGTCAGATTAATCAATTTTTTATATAATTTTAATAATTTAAAGTCAAGGGATTAACCTGATTTACTCCTTTATAGCTTTAAGCTCATCTGAAAGCTTAATACCATTTTATCCACTTGATGCTTGTAAATAACAATAAGTTTAGAATCAATAGAGCACCAAGAACAAGTGTATTAATAGAAATAAACGAATCTATTGTCAAATTTTCAATACAATATTTTCTTCACAATGCTCTTTGGAAACCTATTTATTTGGCAGTCGTTGCTCATTGAGGTTTAATAATTGCACTAAAAATGTCTTGTTTGACTATTAAATCTGGCTCCTTCATTTATAACTTTACTATCGGTTATCAGGAAAGCGACATAAATAAGCTATTACTTATGATGCTTCCTATCTCATTTGCTCACGTATGATATTTTAGAATTATACCGAGAGAGTGAAAATTGAGTTCACCAACATTTTTTGAGCATATTTTCACTGGGTATAAAATTTTAGGTGGAATTGAAAATCTTAAAACCCTAACTGTAATTCTAACTCATCTATAGAGTTCTCTAAAAGGAAGTCAGATATTCTGTTTAGGATTCTGTCTATGGGAGCATGGTTCCTATCCAATCTCTGACTGTATTGTTCCTGCACTGTAAAATTGCTTTCATAGGAGACTTACTCATAGAGTGTCAAATCTCATCCCTCCCATTCTCTATAGATAAATCTAATATTTTGCTTTGGTTTATCTTTCTCGTTCTCAATTTGAGAGTCATAAATACTCTTTCAACTGGCCTTAAGATTCAGGGGTTTTGGGGTTTTGGGGTTTTGGGGTTTTGGGG